TCATTTCTAACTTTTAACTTTGTAACTTTAAAATTCCAATAAAATACTATTAAAAAAAAGATCTGCCCTTCTGTGTTTCTCCTCTAGTAATCTGAATGTCTCTTCAGCTGGTGATGCTGATATCCTGTTTTTGTTGTATTAGGGTGCCACCCAGTGGCTGACAGTGGAATTTCCTCAGACGGTCCAGGCTTCTCAAATTCAGATTCAGTTCCAGGGGGGGTTTGCGAGCCGGAAATGCATTCTGCAAGGTAAGAAACTCACCCACAGTTAAAAGCTCATCTCTTTGCTCAGTCTTTTTCTATATGAGAGACAGAGAGGGGTGTGTGTGTGTGTGTGTGTATTTGTTTTAAATATTTAAATGCATTTAACCGCTGTATCGTTTTTAATTTTGTATTTTATTTAATATTTATTTTAGTATTTTATTTTAGTTAAATAATATTTCATTTAGTATTTAGTGTTTTATTTAATAGGATGCATGCAGCTTTGAACAATCCCTCTTGCTGTGGAGATCTGTATAAAATAGACTTCATCCTAACAAGCTAGCCGTAAATGCTTCATGTGCGAAAGTAATATTTTTGATCATTAGCTGCTGGGAAGACAGCAAAATAGGGCTTTTATTGTGAGCTTTCTGGCAGAAACCCGCCCAGTGTGGGAAACTAGCAAATCAGTCCTTAAAAACCAGAATGATGCCTCCTCCTGCACGTCTCTCTGACTCCTGAGTTACGGCCTGTTCGGCCCCTTATTACTGATTAAGGTGAAGACAGTGAAGCAAGTTGGAAGATAATACAAGGGAAGAAAACATCATTTTGACTCTGATAAGAGCTCTGTTGAGTTTACTTTGTGGTGTGATGAAGGGGAAAAGGAAGGTTTTTTGCCCCCCTCCACCATTCTGTCTTTGCACAGTTGCCCTTGAAGCTTTTTGAAATGGTTCAGGGCCTTATGAAACTGGCCAGGTTACAGACCATAGCTTGCTGTGACAGGTTGGCTTAGACTCTGATATCTATTAGACTGGTCATGGCTTAAACTCTGCAGTTATACTACTTCAGTCTCTAGAAACATCCAAGGCTGTGTCTGATCAGGTTTCTTTGGATGAGTTTGTTTAAACCCCAATGACATGGGCAGTTATGTGGGTGAGTTCAACCAACCTGTTTGCTTGCCCATCATAGCTTATTACATCTGGCAGGAACAGAGTGCTTAGCTGGAACCAGGCAGTGTAAATTCCTCCTTAAAACAAGGAGTGATCCCCATCCTCATTGAAGTAAGTAGCAATGAGACCTCTTTGGACCCAGAAGATCTGCCTCATTAGAAGTCAGCAGCCAACTTTCTCTTCCTAAACAAAGTGCTTGAGTATGTCATGCCTGATCAGATCCAGACACTCTTGGATGAAATGGGTTTTCTAAATCCATTTCAGTTAGGATCTGGCACTGAACCTACCTTGGCTGTCCTGCTGGAAGAATGCAACCACACTGATTTTTCTTGATCTCTCAGCAGCATTGGATACCATCAATCACACTATCTTCCGGAGAAGGTGACTTAGCTAGTTGTGGATAGAAGAGTTTTGAAGTAGCTTGGGTCATTCCTCAATGGCTGCCTGCTGGATGGCCATCTCCTGAGGGCGGGCCAGGGATGTTCTTGAACCCCTGATATTTTCACTGTGAAGTTCCATTTTATCCCCCTACTGTTTAACATCTCCATGAAGCCACCCAGTGTGATCATTTAGAGATTTAGAATAAAATATTGTCTGCTTCTTAAAGGCACCCAGCTGTACTTCTCCTTTCCACGGGATCCAGGTGAGGCAGCCAATTGGCTCACATGCTGGTGGGGGAATTCTGGGAGTTGAAGTCCACACATCTTAAAGTTGCCAAGTTTGAAAAACACTGATCTAGATCTATTTGTGATTCGTTAGCACACATCGCCTCTGTGGTGTGAAAGCACCTTTCACCACTGGCGTGCCAGTTACTGCCTTATTTGGCTAGAGATAGTTTTACAGTGGTGATCCAAGGCCATGATACCTGTTTGTTGAGATTACTGGAAGGCCTTATGCATGGGTCTGCCCTTGAAGACTGCCCAATAACTTCAGTAACATAAAATGCAGCCGCAGAAGTACCCATTGGAACAGGTCTTACGATCTTTATGATCTTCACTGGCTCCCTGTTCATTTCTGGTTCCAGTTCAGAGTACTGACTTTTACCTATAAAAACCTTCACAGCTCTGGGTGACAATCTTGGGTACAGAATGCAGCTGCCCGGGTTGTCAATAGTGTCGGCTACTCAGCACATGTCACACCGCTGCTTCGGGAGCTGCACTGGTTGCTGGTGTGTTTCTGGGTGCAATTCAAATTGCTGGTTGTCACCTTTAATACCCTCCATGGCTTGGGACCATGAATCAAACAAGTAAAACAATACAAAAAAATATATAAATACAGCCTTACCTGAGGGACTCTCTTTTCCCAGTTGTTTCCACCCGTCCAATCCGGTCCGGCAGGCTGGGCGTGCTCCGGGTCCCATCAGCCAAGGAACGTCAGCTGGCGGGGACCAGGAGACGTGCCTCTTCTGCTGTGGCACCTGCCCTCTGGAACATCCTCCCTCCTGAGATTAGGATGGTCCCGACCCCTTTGGCTTTTCAGAAGGTCTTGAAGACCTGGCTTTATGCCCGGGCCTGGGACCCCGAGTGTGCGAAGGGCCCCGTTTCATGGTTGTGCTGACGCCCACAGTTGGTTTAAGATCTCTTGGCTGCATCTAAATATATACACTGTATATATTTTACATTGTTTTACTTGTTTGATTGTTTTTATTATTGTTAGCCACCCAGAGTCACTGGTTTGAGATGGGCAGCTGTATAAATGAAATGGATGGATGGATGGATGGATGGATGGATGGATGGATGGATGGATGGATGGATGGATGGAAAAAATACCTCCTACCCATCCCCTAAGGTCATTTTTGGAGGTACTTCTGTGATTTGAGCTGTGGCAAATAGCTATCCAAAAACGGGCCTTTTCAATGGGTGTCTCCCAACTTTGAAATGCTCTCCCAAGTGACATAAGACTGGTGCCATGATTATCATCTTTGCAGTAGCAAGCAAAGACATTATCAGTCTCCCAGGCCTTTTAACACTCATGCCTCTGTCAATGTTACCTTTCTCTTACTGCTTTTGTTTTATTCTTTTATCTTGTGTATTTTATATATCCTTTTCATAGTTGTAAAATTATTATTGTACTCACTGATTTTCATTGGAAACCACTCTGAGATTTAAAAAAAGAAAATTAGCGGTGTAGAAATATTTTAAATTAATAAAATAAACAGAAAAGAGTTCTTGTTCTCTGCACTTCTCAAAGGCTTTAGGCTGAATGTGTCTTGGGAACAAAAGCTTCTTTAGCAACAATTCACACTGCCGAAGAGGCAAGCTGCTAATGAGCAGAAAAGTGGCTAGCCTTTTCAGAATGCAGTATTAACTTCTGTCTCTTCCTCAGTATTTTTCCTTTCCAAATTCTTTTCATTGTGAACTGGGAAGTGCCTGACAATACCAGTGTTTCCCAAAACTTTTCCCAACTGCACACCTTGTTTTCTGTGTTCAAACTTCCAAAGGTGGCCAGAAAGGAGGTGATCTTTCCACTGTTGCTGAATTCTACCCTGAAGATAACAACTCTCTCCAGATATCCTTTACCAAATAATTCAGCACTCCCAAGAACTGAAATACAAAATGTACGGATCTCTGGGCCATATACAGCCCTGCAAGGTTTTCTGGTACAACTGCATTTAATTTTGGCCAAGTTGGGGATTGTATTTCCACCTAGTATATCACCATCTGTTCCTTAACTACTCCTTCCTCTACAGCTTTCCGTTCAAAGCAGAACCACTGGATAAACTGAAAATTACGTTTCAAAACAGCTCGGATTTCTTTGGGCGAATTATCGTCTACCATCTCAACATCCTTGGGCAGAAGCTTTGATCGAGGAGGAAGCAAGAGCTGAAGGATTTGTCAAGTATGTGGATGGCAAACTAAAGACCATCCTGGGGCCTCTAAGATGGTGTGAATTGGAATTGACTGGTTTTGAAAGCCGAGCTGCTTGGTTTGATAGCAAATGGACTTCCTTTCCCATCGTCCCCCTATGTCATCAGCACCTTGAAGAGCTGGAAAGAAAACAGTTTGTCTCTTTGATGTGCAGACAACCGGCTTCCTTAAAGAAAAACTTTACATTTTCCTTGCTGCAAGGAAAGGATCTCTGGTTCTAATTTGAACGTAGGGGCAAGTGCTGCTTATAGTTCTATGAAGAAGAGCCTTAAATACTGCGCAACTTGTTATTACTTAACCTCTTGGGGATCACAGTCTGTTTCATCAAATTCCATTTATCGTATTTCAGTTTCTAAGCCTGCCCCAGGCGAAAGCCAACCCTGGGTGGAGTACAGTTTAAAACAGTACAATACTGAAAAGCAACCCCAAAAGTAGAACAAATATTACAGAATGGGGATGAACATAGCACAACCAGAGCCAGCAATATGTATCAAAAAGGAACCCCCCAACCTATCACAGAGCCTGGGGGGAAATCCAAGGTTTTTTTTAAAAAAAACTTAATATTTGCAGGGCTGGGGCAACCCAAACATCTAAAACAGTGTTTCTCAACCTTGGCACAGATATATATTTTTTGGGT